GAGTCCAGGGGTCAGATCCCTTCCCTGTCCCTGCTGGCCACGCTATTGCTGACACAAGCCAGGATGCCATTGGCCTTCTTGGCCACCTGGGCACACTGCTGGCTCCTGTTCAGCCGGCTGTCAATCAGCACCCCCAGGTCCCTCTCTGACTGGCAGCTCCCCAGCCACTCCTCCCCAAGCCTGTAGCGCTGCTGGGGGTTGTGTGGCCCAAGGGCAGCCCCCGGCATTTGGCGTTATGGAAACTCCTCCGGTTGGCCTCAGCCCATGGCTCCAGCCTGTCCAGGTCTCTCTGCAGAGCCTCCCTACCCTCGAGCAGATCAACACTCCCACCCAGCTTGGTGTCATCTGCAAACTGACTGAGGGTGCACTCGATCCCCTCGTCCAGGTCATCAATAAAGATGTTAAAAGGAGAGGCCCCAACACCCAGTCCTGGGGGACACCACTCGTGACCGGCCACCAACTGGATTTAACTCCCTTCACCACAACTCTTTGGGCCCGGCCATCCAGACAGTTTTTTACCCAGCAAAGCGTGTGCCCATCCAAGCCACGAGCAGCCAGTCTCGCCAGGAGAATGCTGTGGGAAATGGTGTCAAAGGCCTTACTAAAGTCAAGGTAAACAACACCCACAGCCTTTCCCTCATCCAACAAGCAGGTCACCCTGTCATAGAAGGAGAACAGGTTTGTCGAGCAGGACCTGCCTTTCATAAACCCATGCTGACTGGGCCTGAGCATCTGGTTGTCCCGCAGGTGTTGTGTGATGGCACTCAGGATGAGCTGCTCCATCAGCTTCCTGGGCACTGAAGTCAAGCTGACAGGCCTGTAATTTCCCGGATCATCCTTCTGACCCTTCTTATATACGGGTGTCACACTGGCCAATTTCCAATCAGTTGGGACCTCTCCGGTCAGCCAGGACTGCTGGAAAATGATGGAAAGCGGCTTGGTGAGCACCCCAGCCAGCTCCTTCAGCACCCTCGGGTGTATCCCATCCGTTCCCATAGACTTGTGTATGTCTGTGTGATGCAGCAGGTCACTGATTGTCTCCTCCTGGAATGCAGGGGGTTTGTTCTCCCAGTCTCTGTCTTCTGGCTCGCCGAGGAGTCTGGATTCCCTCAATACAACTAGTGTTGTTATTAAAGACTGAGGGAAAGAAGGCATTAAGTACTTCAGCTTTTTTCTCGTCACTTGTCACCATGTTTCCTTCTGTGATGGAGGCTCTTTCTGGTCTTTCTTTTGCTGTTGATGTACTTATAGAAACATTTCTTATTATCCTTGACTGCTGAAGCCAGATTAATTTCCAGCTGGGCTTTAGACCTCCTGATTTCTGCCCTGAATAGCCTCACAGCATCTTTCTAATCACTGTGAGTCACTAGCCCCTTCTTCCAAAGGCTGTAAACTCTCCTTTTCTCCCTGAGTTGCAGCCAAAGCTCCCTGTTTAGTCAGAGTGGCCTTCTCTGGCGTCGGCTTCTCTTATAGCACCTGGGGACAGTCTACTCCTGTGCCATTAAGACTTTCTTCTTAAAGAGTGCCCATCCTTCCTGGATCCCTATACCCTTCAGGATCGTCTCCCAAAGGATCCTGTCAAGCAGGTGTCCAAACAACTCAAAGTCAGCTCTTTGAAAGTCCAGGATGTCAGTTCTGCTGCCGCCTCTCCTGGTCTCTCTAAGAATAGAGAAATCTATTATTTCATGATTGCTGTGCCCTAATCGTCCTCCAACTGCCACATCATCCTCTAGTCCTTCATTCACAAAGAGAAGATCCAGTAGGGCACCTTCTCTGGTTGGTTCACTCACCAGCTGCATCAGGAAGTTATCTGCCACATATTTCAGGAATCTCCAGGACCGCTCCTGCTCTGCTGTCTTATATTTCCAGCATAAGCAGTAAGAAGCTCATGGGCTGAAAGGGGTCTGTACCCTTGAAGATTCTAGATGGCCTAATAAGTCACTTGTCAAAAATATCAGAGAATGACATAGTTACTAAAGCTTAAACTGTCCTTCTGGTGAAGAGAACTGAAGGGTTTAAGGAAAACTGTCTGTGAAAGCTAATGGTTAAATAAGGTTGTAGTTTGGCTGACTGCTGGTAGTCATTTAAGAATAGGAAGAGTGTATGGTCATACTTACATCTGCATCTCTCTCTCTCTCACAGGTCACATGCCAAATTTTACTGGGATGACTTTATGATAAATTTGACTATTTTGGGGAAATGTCATATGCTATGACTAAGAGACGTGGAAACTCTCCTTCTGGAAGACAGTGGACACTATGACAAATCATTCAAGAGTGACATCCCAATAGATAAAGATGTGGAACCCCTGAAATGAATAATATGAGAAAATATGGTCATTTTTCTCTTGAATAAAAACAGGAGCATGGCACTTGAAGTGGTGTGCCTTCTGTTCAGACCATAGTCAATTATCTTTCAGCTTTCCTTAGTGTACTTTTCTTTGGGTAAGAGGTGCTACCCAAAATGTACCATTAATGCATCCATCTTGTACAGAAATTTGGGCTTTAGACACTGCCTTTTAAGTTGACAGTTCTTTCAATAAGGGCTTTGGGAAAACTATGCCATCTAGGCATTCCTGCTTGGGTGAATAAACCTTCGTCAAAACTGGTGTAGCTGAATGGCACATTCTAGTTTTAAGAAATGCTTTCGCCTCTACCAGAGATAAGTCTGCTAATGCAGTAGTACTCTACAGAACTCACACTTATTATCCAGTCTCATGACATTTTGAAAAGGATTTTTTTTTTATGAAAGTCTGCTGCTTGTTTTCTGACTGGAGAACTTCCTCTTCATTTATGTAGAGAATTTCTTAAAACCAATCTTTTTCCCTGATGATTAAACTGAACAATAAACTCCTAATTAGGAGGTTTTGAAAGTTCTGTTTTTGATGTTAGCTTTGGAAGTTATGCACTATGGGAGGTGATAGGGTAGTGAGGGTGTTTCTGAGTCATCCCCAATGCCCAAGCTGCTATGCAGGATATAAAAGACATGTGCAGGAGAGGAGAACTAGTCAGATTTGGAACTTTTACATCACTGTTACCCCTGAGATGACCTCAATTCATTAAAAAAGTTATTTCTTGGGAAGTGTCTTAAAAGGTTGTTTGAACTTAAAGCTCAGTCTTTGTTGGTATTCAGACCATACCTATTCTTTACATTATTTGGGGCCATGCTTTGAAGTTTTCTGTTTCTCCTGGGTATTCCAGCTAATGTAGTTCATTGTGAAATGAGAGCACAGAAAAATACAGTATCATCATATTACTTGTCTCAGACTTGAAATGCTGCAAGAAACTTAAAATGAAAATTTATTTTATTAGAAATTGATACACAGTTGTAAATAAAATTTTGGAGACAACATTTTGACAATTGTTTTAACTTAGTATTTTCTTTTGTCTTATGATATATGCATTACATATCACATTCATGCAAAAATCTGTCTTCTGTCTTTTCACTGTATGTTCACTACTCAAAAGCAGCAGAATTTGTCACTGGAGTAAGTCAAAAGAATATGTAATCAGACTCACAATTTCTCTTTTCCATCCTTATTTTCTCAAGTTTCTTATCTGTGCACATACAGAGTTACATATTTGCTGTGTCACTCACGTTGCTGCAAAAGAATGCTGCAAAGGAAATTCACTGCTGGGTGGAAGAATATGCATGACTTCTGACCAGTCCCC